TACTTATTTCACAGAGCTTCTTATATACTTCAAGTATAAAATTTTCCTCATAAGGAGAGAAAGCAAATCCTTGAAGCATTCCAGGGCCCATTGGAATGACCTAAAGCCAATTCTAGGTTAAGGAAAAGTTTCTTAAAATTCAAACCCTGGGAAGGTAGTCAAATACATTAAACTAAAAGATTATATATTATTATTATTACACTATTAAGTAATCTATTCATGTAAAGTAATAACTTCCTGATTAACATAACATAATCATTTTAATAATATATATAAAACCTTTGCTTCCTAGGCAAATACAGGAAAAACTTTTTTTCCTTACTTTCAGGAATAAGCTTATTTTTTCCAATAGAAAATATATTCACATTCTTAAGAAGCATAACAGAGATAGTGAATTCCTTAGCTGAGAATTCCCTCCAACTTGGAAATCCCAAGCGGGTTCTGATGACTTACTGCACAGTTACTTTTATTTTCTTACTCTTCATTTTCAAGGACTTCGTCACATTTCATTGCATACCTGGGTCCTCACATGGGGAACCACTTGCCAGGACTGACCACCAGATCCTGAGTGACAGATGAATGGATTACTTTGACACACATTTCTTTGAAAGAGAAGGCTAAGGGACTGCTTGGTTATAGCAACCAAGCAGCCTCATTCGCCTGCCTCCTTAGACTTATTGTAGCAACAGCTTGAATTAAAATTAACTATTAGATTCTATTAGCAGGGTAAGCATCCTTGAGAAGGCACATGCATCTGAAGTGTCCTTTAAGCAAGGAAGTTTTGAAGTCTAAACATAAATATTCCAGTAAAACACCTGGGGGCTCAGACTTGTTTGGAAAAGTCAAGGCAGGTTCTGCCACCTACAGCAAGGTTCCCCTGGTGGCCCCAACCTTTTGGGAAATCCTCCTTTCAGACTTTCCAGCCAAGTCCCGTGCTTCCCCACAGTCTCTGTGGGAGTGAGGTCAGCCCCTCTGGGCTCAGGAGGACAAATCAAAAAGCCTCCCATTAGGATGATACCAGCCCAGCTCACAGGAGGGGACTAATTACCTTCACCCAGTCCTAGATAATAGTCTCTGAGGGTCTCATACTTTGATTGTCCCCACTTGAGCCTCTCTCTCTCTCTTCCCCCACAGAACTGTGCCAAGTGTAGCAGGGTCTAAACCAGGGGTGGGCTAACTTTTTGACTCGAGGGCCACAATGTGTTCTTAAACTGGACCGGAGGGCCAGAACAAAAGCATGGATGGAGTGTTTGTGTGAACTAATGTAAATTCAAAGTAAACATCATTACATAAAAGGGTACGGTCTTTTTTTTTCAATAGTTTTATTCATTTCAAATGGCCGGATCCGGCCCGCGGGCTGTAGTTTGCCCACGGCTGGTCTAAACTCACAGGGGAGCTTTGATATGCCTCCCCCCAATGTAGCTGCAGAACCTTCCACTCACCCCTCTGATTCCCAGACAGAAGCCTCCCTGGGAGATACAGTCCGAAAAACCCAGCTCTGTGTGTATCCTGGCACCCCCATGCCATCAAACCCAGCAGGACAAGCCAAGAATCCCAGCCCTGTTTCTTCCTCTGTGCCACTGAGCCCAGAAGGATGGGGCAGACCAAGTAGTTTAGCAGAGGGGAGAGGAGTGTGGACCATGCACTTGAGGTGGGTGAGTCTGATTTTCTTTCCCAAGTCACACAGTTTAGTCACTGACCAACTCTCTGCCCAAAGCCTTTCCAGAGAATCGAGGGCCCCCCTAAGAGGAGGGAATTCTTCAGCCACAATATCCCTCTGGCTTCTCAGCTGCAACACCTGCACGAGGGTGTGCTCCCTTTAAAAAAATCTGTGTGTAAAATGATTCCCCTCAAATTTAGTTTTCTCTTGGTATCTACTGGCAATTGGTTATAGGATTTCCTGAGTATACCAAAATCCAAAGATACTATAAAAAAAAAAGTCATAGATCAATGCACACAGTTGGCCCTCTCCTTTTGTGGATTGAAAACAGCATAGTTATTTTTTGGAAAACAAATATACTGTAAGTAGACCTAAGCATTTCAAATCGTGTTGTTCAAGGTTTAACTGTAATCAGAAAAATTTCAAATATGAGGACATATCTATAACATATCTATAATAATAACATATCTATAATAATAAAAGTATAATATGCTAATTGACCAGACAGCCAACAGCATATCTATAATAATAATCAACATATCTATAATAATAAAAGCGTAATATACTAATTAGACCAGACGGCCAAACAACCTTCTGGATGACCTTCTGGACAAAGCCGGGGCTGCAAGGCAAGCCTGGGTCCCAGGTGCCAGAGGGAAGCCAGTGCTGGCAGGAAGACCTACTTTTGCATGAATTTTGTGCTTTGGGCCTTTATAAGTAATTCATGAGTCAAAGAAGAAGTTACAAAGACATTGGAAGATATTTTAAATTGAATAATGAACAAAATATGACATATTCAGATTTAGAAGTAAAATTTGGGGGACGCAATGCTTTGAACTTTACCACTTTAAGTGTCTACACCATTGGTTCTCAACCTTCTGGCCCTTTAAATACAGTTCCTCATGTTGTGACCCAACCATAAAATTATTTTCATTGCTATTTCATAACTGTAATGTTGCTACTATTATGAATCATAATGTAAATATTTGATATGCAGGATGGTCTTAGGCAACCCCTGTGAAAGGGTTGTTCGACCACCAAAGGGGTCATGACCCACATGTTGAGAACCGCTGGTCTACACTAATAAAAGAGAAAGATGCAAATTAACCATTATCTGTCACTCTGCCACTCTGCTACACCCACAAGCCATGCCCACCAGCCAATCAGGAGTGAGTATGCAAATTAACCCAGCTAAGATGGCGGCTGCCATGGAGCTGGAGTGAGAAGGACGCTTGGGTTGCCCCTGGCGATGGAGGAAGCCAAGCTTCCTGCCTGCCCTGGCCCGCCCACAGCTCCGCTCAAGGCTACAAAGTTTCAATTATAAAAGGTAAATAAATCCCAGATACCTGCTTCCAGTCCACCGTGGTCTCTGCTCAAAGAGGTGCTGAAAAAAAAAAGACAAAAAGGAGTGGCTGGGAGCTTGGGTCTCTGGGGGGGCATGGCCAGCCTGAAAATGGCCATCAGCCCCTCACCCAGGCTGGCCAGGCACCCTACTAGGGACCCCCACCAATAAGTATAGTACTGGCCAGTCTGAAAATAGCCCTCAGCCCCTCACCCAGGCTGGCCACACCCCCATGGGGTGAGGGTCCCCACTGTGGGGGGCTTGACCAGCCTGCAAACAGCCATCAGCCCCTCACCCCGGCTGGTCAGGCACCCCAGCGGGACCTCCACCCTGATCCGGGACACCCTTCAAGGCAAACCAGCGGGCCCCCACCCATACACCAGGCCTCTATCCTTCTATATAATAAAAGGTTAATATGCAAATTGACCCTAATAGAAGAACGACTGGGAATGACTAGTCACTATGACACACACTGACCACCAGGGGGCAGACGCTCAATGCAGAAGCTGCCCCCTGGTGGGCAGTGGCTCCCACAGGGGGAGCTCTGCTCAGCCACAAGCCAGGCTGACGGCTGCCAGTACAGCAGTGGTGGCAGGAGCCTCTCCTGCCTCAGCAGCGATAAGGATGTCCGACTGAAGCTAAGGCCTGCTCCCTGATGGCAAGTAGACATCTCCTGAGGGCTCCCGGGCTGCCAGAAGGATGTCTGACTGCCAGCTTAGGCTCGATCCCCCAGGGAGCAGGCTTAAGCCAGCAGGTGGACATCCCCTGAGGGGTCCCAGACTGTGAGAGGGAACAGGCCAGGCTGAGGGACACCCCCCCCCCCCGAGTGTGCAAATTTTGTGCATTGGGCCTCTAGTTCATATTATAAACACAGAAAAGTCTAAAATTAGTTACCTGAATTCCAAACTTAAAAATTAGTAGAAGAAAATAAAATTAAAGCTTTAGCTGCCTTTTAGTTGTTTGGCTGACTTGATTTCAGTGAGACCATGTTCCTTGGGGCCATCCTGCATTACTAGAACAGTGGTTCTCAACCTGTGGGTCACGACTCCTTTGGGGGTCAAACAACCCTTTCACAGGGGTCGCCTAAGACCATTGGAAAACACATATATAATTACATATTGTTTTTGTGATTAATCACTATGCTTTAATTATGTTCAATTTGTAACAATGAAATTGAGGGTCACCACAACATGAGGAACTGTATTAAAGGGTCGCGGCATTAGGAAGGTTGAGAGCCACTGCACTAGAATATAGCTGTCATTCTGAGTTTTAGTTCTTTTATTACATTTCCAAGTCTTCATTCACCAATGTTTTATTAAAGCTGCATTTTACAGAGAGGAAGGAAGATAGTTAGAAACATCAATGAGAGAGAAACATCGATCAGCTGCCTACTGCACACCTCCCGCCAGGGATGTGCCCATAACCAAAGTACATGCCCTTGACCGGAATCGAACCTGGAACCCTTCTGCCCGCAGGCCAACGCTCTATCCACTGAGCCAAACTGGTTACAGCTAAAGCTGCAGTTTTAGTAAAACTAAATTGCATTCAGCAAATCTACTGCTTTCCTTTAAGATACTTAGTTTTCAGAAGATATAAATCAGATTCAGCTGAAAAAGTCAAACCTAGAGGGAAGGCAAGGGAAGATGGGATGGGGGGAGGGTAAAAAGAGAACAACAAAATACTTTGTATGCATATAAGCATAATGAATAGACAGACAGTAGGGTTGTGGGGGCCTGGGCTGGGAGAGGACAGTGGGGAATAAAGGGGACATATGTAATACTTTCAACAGTAAGATCTTTTTTAAAAAAAACAACAACGAAAAGAAGTATCCCTTTAGTGCCCAAACTGTGATATGTTCTCAGAGTAATTATGTTCAGTTGGCCTTGGTACAAAATTAAATTTATGTTCTGTAGATGACAAGCTATGACTTACTTGAATTGCCTTGTTCGTCTGAGCTGCCCCTCAGTCTGTTTTATTTGACACTGCTTTGTCATGCAGGGTACATCAGAGAAGGGTTCGTGGCTGTGCAGCATGCCGTAGATAAGGCCATCATGCTGTACCATGGGGGCCGCGCTGCCCAGAAGCTGTTTGATGGCATCAGTGTTCTTATACAGAGATTTCCACATCCAGCTTATGCTGAAGACAGGTTAATTAGGATCCTTAGTGGCTTCTTCCCTTTGATGTTCATACTCATGTTCTCTCCAACTGTACTTTCCACCATTCGAACCCTTGTGTCGGAAAAAGAAAAAAGATTGAAGGTAATCCCAATTATTATCTGATAAAGTTTCTGTAATTATATTTTTATGCCAATGGAGCTCTTCTAAATGGAGACTTAGACTATTTCTGCATATTCAGCATTGGTAGGTAGATGTTACACCTAGTGGCAGCAAATTACATCTCAGTAACAGCAAATGTAGAACAGAAAGTGATGCAACTTTCTAATTTTTCAAGCTGGCAGAATTGCTGAGGCAAACCATCTCTGGGAAGCCACAAAAAGGAAAATCCTGAAGGCACGGAGGTCACTGGTGGAATTTGTAGTCTGTAGTACCTAGGAACCCCAAACACAGTTCACCACCTAACTAAATTAACTTAAATTCCCACTCTTTCAGTCTATTTACCTTGATAGCTACAGCCCTAGATAACATGTCTGGGTTTCAACAAAAAAAAATTACAAAGCACATCAAAAATTAAGAAGTGACAGTCCAAAGAGTCAAATTAGTTATCAGAACTAGACTCAGATAAGACAGAGATGTTGGAAATATCAGACAAGGAATTTAAAATTATTATGGTTAGTAATTTAAAGGCTCTAAGGGAAAAGGTATATGTGTCCAGCATCAAGACCATCCCCATTTTCTGAAATGCAGTGGGACTCAGCATATAGTTATACTCACATCTGGAATTTCTTAGAGTGGTGTAGTAAATACCCATAGCTAGATCGTAAGAGGAAATGACACAGGAAAAGCCTAGAAAAACTGACCTTGCAAACACGACTTCCTAATCGTCTCAAGCCTCTTTGTTAGCTCTTTTCTGCACAGCAGAAAACATGCAAGATCAGACAGTTAATGCTATTAGAGAGAGAAAAACTATAAGGAGTTAAAGGAAAATGATAGAAGTAAAATTATGCTAGCAGAAATGAAGAATGCTTTTGACAGGCTCATCAGTACATTTGACCTTGATGAGGAAAGAATCAGAGAATTGAATAAAACAGTTGAAATTATACAAACTTAAAGAGAAAACAAAATTTAAAAATTCAGAAAAAAGCATACAAAAAGCGTAGGACAATATTAAGTGGTATAACATGTACATAATTGGAATCCCTCTAAGAAGATATGAGAGAATAGAGCTAATGTGCAGAGTATTATGCTAAGTGAAATACCAGTAAGCTAGTGAGAAAAAGACAAATATCACATGATCTCTCTTATATGTGGAATCTAATGAACAAAATAAACTGACAAACAAAATAGATACAGAGACATGGAAGCATGGAACAGATGATTCTCAGAGTGGAGGTGGGGAGTGGAAAGAAATTAACCAAAGAATTTATATGCATATGTGCATAACCCTTGGACACAGGCAATAGTGAGGTAATGGCCTGGAGGGAGGTTGGAAGTGGGGAGGAGGGTATCAATGGGGAGGAAAAGGGAACATCTGTAATACTTTCAACAGTAAAGATAAATTTTAAAAAGAAGTAATGGCAGAGAGTTTTTTCCAAAATCAGTGGTATGTATCAAACCACAAATTGAAGAAGCTCAGAGAACACAAAACAGGATAAATACAACACTACACACACACACGCACACACACATGCACGCACACATGCGCACACACATACACCTAGACATAATTATATTTAAACTTCTGAAAACCAAACACAAAGAGAATATATTGAGAGCAGCCAGAGGTGGAGAAAAGGCCACATTGTCTACAAGAAACAAGCATAAGAAGTATAACTGACTTCGAACTTACAATTGAATTTTTAAAATAAAAAACATAGACACATTTCTCTAATATTCCAGAAAGTATACTATAATATAAAAGAGATCTTAATATTTCAAAGTTTAATTTGAAATGCTTTCCATTTTGGTCCCATACTAAGTATAGTACTGAAAAAGATGTCTGAAATCAGGAGAAATATCCTATAATGCTAATACTGTCCTTATTAACTCCATAATTTTGACCAACATACTTGACTTTGAGCATTGCTTCTTCTCATTCACAAAATAGAGATATTACCTATTTATATAGGATTTTATGGGAATTTAATTTTAAAATGTATGTGAAAGCACTATGAATTACTGTTATATGTTATATTTGATTTGTGTTGACTTTCCTACAGGAGTACCAACTCATAATTGGACTTAGAAACTGGATGATCTGGGCTTCCTATTTCCTCGTAGTCTTCTTTTTTTATATCATTATCATCTTTTTGATATGTGTGTTATTCTTTGCCAAGGCAAGTGTCTAATTTTGTGCTATCCAATAGATATTTGAGTCACTATGAAATATTAAATCTTTAGTAGCCACTATACATTTTAAAGAAAGAAAGAACAGGTGAAATTATTTTAATAATATATTTAATTTAACTCAATATATACAAAATATATCAACATGCAATCTATTTGAAAATTAAGATATTTTATTTTACATTCTTTTTTGTGCTGTCTTCAAACTGCAGTCTGTGTTTTATATTTAAAGCACATCTCAATTCATATGCAATATCATCATTAGAAGTACCTAATATGTACTTGACACTGTATTTGTTTTTTAATTTAAATTAAAGTAATTAAAATTAAATGATATTTACATAAGCTACTTCTGAGTGCTCAGTAGCTAATGTGGTTCATGTCTGCCATATTGGATATTTTCTTCCAATATGGTAGCCTGCTGCAGCTGTCCTCTGAGAGGGATAAAGTCATTCCTCTCAAGTGTGCACTGATTGGTCTCAGGAAGATGAAATATGGCTTATATTGCATCCACTATGGATACTCATAGGCTGCTGAATCTCCAAGGGAAAAAAAAACACCAGAAACCCTTCTGTAAGAAATAAGTTATTTAGTTAACTTTCCCACAAATTAAGCTTCAGTAACTGAGTAATGTGATCTATTTCTTTAGGGCCTTCATTTTCTCCTTCTTCCCTTCTGTTTATGTGACAGTACTTATGGTGTGCCTTAAATTGTCATATTGTTTTATTGTAGATTTTCAATGAGCCAATTTTCCGCTACAGTGACTATAGCTTCATCTTTGTCTTTTTCATGTGTTATGCCATTGCTTCAATATTCTTTGGCTTTATGGTTAGCACATTCTTCAGTAAAGGTGAGTCACCCCATACATAATGCAATTTCTGTTCTAATTGACCAAAATGGGATCTTATTTGGGTGCTCCTTCTAGACATCTCATGTGTAGTCTTTGTGTGTGTGTGTGTGTGTTGATTTTAGAGAGGAAGGGAGAGGGAGAGAGGGATAGAAACATCAATGATGAGAGAGAATCATTGATTGTCTGCCTCCTGCATGCTCCTACTGGGGATCAAGCCCACACCCAGGCATGTGCCCTGACTGGGAATTAAACCATAACCTTCTGGTTCATAGGTCAACACTTAAACACTGAGCCACGTCTGCTGAGCTCATATGTATAGTCTTGACTTACATTCTATCATAGAAGATGAATTGTATATGAAATCATTTAACAGGAGGTAAAGAGAACATTGAAAATTAATGTGGCCCAATGTATATATCAAAAAGGATATAAAATAAAATTGTGACCAGTTATAACTTAGGATAAATAAACAATTCTTCCTGCAGAAGAATTGATTTCTTTTTTTTAAATTTTTTTATTTTCCCACCTTTTTATTGAATTTATTGGGGTGACACTGACAACAAATTAAAATTATACAGGTTTCAGGTACACAATTCCAAAACACATCATCTGAACACTGTATTGTGTGTTCACCACTGTAAGTCAACTTCGTCTGTAACCATTTATCCCCTCTATAAATGCAATTTAAATTGGAGATTTATTTCACATTAAAGACTTTAATCCATTACTTTTTAAAAATTCTTTGTTGTATAAAGTATTATGTAAGTCTCCTTTTTCCCCGAATGACCTGTCCCTGGATACTCCCACCCTTCCGGCACCTGCCCTCACCCACTTAGTGTCTGTGTCCACCGGTTATGCTTATATGCATGCATACAAGTCCTTCCGTTTATCTCTTACGCCCGCCCCACCCTCCCCTGCCTTCACTCTGAGGTTTGACAATCTGTTCCATGCTTCTCTAGTTCTGGATCTATTTTTGTTTATGTTGTTCATTATATTCCACAAATGAGTGAGATCATGTGATATTTATCTTTCTCTGACTGGCTTATTTTGCTTAGCATAATGCTCTCCAGGTCCATCCATACTGTAATGAATGTTAAGAGTTCTTTCTTTTTTTTACAGCAGCGTAGCATTCCATTGTGTAGAGGTACCAATGATTTTTAATCCACTCATCTGTTGATGGGCAATTAGGCTGTTTCCAAATCTTAGCTATTGTAAATTGCGCTGCTATGAACATGTGGGTGCATATATCCTTTCTGATTGGTGTTTCTGGTTTCTTGGGATATATTCCTAGAGGTGGGATCACTGGGACAAATGGGAGTTCCATTTTTAGTTTTTTGAGGAAACGCCATACCATTTTCCACAGTGGCTACACCAGTCTGCATTCCCACCAGCAGTTAATAGTCTATTTCTCCACATTCTTGCCAGCACTTGTCGTTTGTTGATTTGTTGATGAAAGCCATTCTGACAGGTGTGAGATGGTACCTTATTGTCATTTTTATTTGCATCTCTTGGATAATGAGTGACTTTGAGCATGTTTTCATATGTCTTTTGGCCTTCTGTATGTCCTCTTTAGAAAAGTATCTATTTAAGTCTTTTGCCCATTTTTTTGATTGGATTATCTTCCTTTTGTTAAGTTGTATGAGTTCCCTATAAATTTTGGAAATTAGGCCCTTATCGGAGATAACATTGGCAAATACTGGTATGTTCTTTCATGCTTTCTTATTGTTTTGTTAATGGTTTCTTTTGCTGTGCAGAAGCTTTTTATTTTGATGCAGTCCCATTTATTTTCTCCTTAGTTTCCTTTGCCCTAGGAGCTGTGTCGGTAAAGATATTGCTATGGTATATGTCTGATATTTTGCTGCCTATGGAGTCTTCTAAGATTTTTACCATATGGCTTCCTGTCATACATTTAAGTCCTTTATCCATTTTGAGTTTATTTTGTGTGTGGTGTAAGATGGTGATCTAGTTTCATTTTTTTGCATTTATCTGTCCAATTTTTCCAACACCATTTATTGAAGAGACTGTCTTATTCCATTGAATGCTCTTTTAAAGGTGTGGGTTTATTTCTGGGACCTCCATTCTGTTCCATTGGCCTATATGCCTGTTTTTATGCCAGTAACAGGCTATTTGGATTATAATGGCCTTGTAGTAGAATTTGATATCCAGTATTGTGGTACCTCCCATCTTATTCTTCTTTCTCAAGATTGCTGTGGCTATTCAGGATCTTTCTCGATTCTATATAAATTTGGGGAATATCTTTTTCTAGGTCTGTGAAATATGCCATTGATATTTTAATACGGATTGTGTTGAATCTATAGATCACTTTGGGTGTAATGGATGTTTTAATGATGTTAGGTCTTCCAGCCATGAACATGATATATGCTTCCACTTATGTCTTCCTTAATTTTTTTCTTCTATATCATATACAGATCTTTTACCTCCTTGGTAAAATTTATTCCTATTTATTTATTTTGTAATAGTAAACAGGATGGTTTTTTAAGTTTCTCCTTCTGAGAGTTCATTATTGGTATATAAAAATGCCATTGAATTCTGGATATTGATTTTGTATCCTGCAACTTCTGTGAATTTATTTATTAAATATAGTAGTTTTGTTGAAGTCTTTAGGGTTTTCTATGTAAAATATCATGTCATCTGCAAATAATTATAATTTTACTTCCTCTTTTCCAATTTTGATGCCTTCTATTTCTTCTTGTCTGATTACTATAGCTAAAAATTCTAGTACTGTGCTGAACAAGAGTAGGAAAGCAGACATCCCTGACTTGTTCCTCATCTTAAGGGAAATGCTTTTAGTTTTTGCCCATTGAGTATAATGTTAGCTGTGGGTTTGTCATATATAGCATTTATTATGTTAAGGTATGATCCCTCTATTCCCACTTTGCTGAGAGTTTTTATTATAAAACTAGAGGCCTGATGCACGAAATTGGTGCAAGAGTAGGCCTTCCTTCCCCCAGCTGCCGGCACTGGCTTCCCTCTGGCACCCGGGACCCAGGCTTCCCTCTGGACGCTGGCAGGCACCCAGGACCCCCTGGGCTTCCCTTGCAGCCTTGGCTTCATCCAGAAGCTCATCAGGTCTAATTAGCATATTATGCTTTTATTATTATAGATGGTGCTAGATTGTATTGAAGGTTTTTTCTGCATTTATTGATATGACCGTGTTGTTTTTATCTTAACTTTTGATTTTGTGATGTATGACATTTATTGATTTGCAAATATTGTACCAACCTTCTATTCACAGAATACATCTCTCTTGGTCATGAATATATGGTCTTTTTATTCTATTTCTGGATCCGATTTGCTATTATGTTACTAAGGGATATTGGCCAATAATTTTCTTTCTTTGTTGTGTCTTATCTGGTGTTGGTATTAGGATAATTGTTGGGGTCCAACCCCAGCAGGTCCAGGGGTCCCCAAAGGTGTGGACGGAGTTGGCAAAGAAGGAATGACACGGAGACAGCGTTCAGTTGATCAGCAGCCTAGCCAGGATCTCCAGCCAAGTTCTGTTTCCATGCTCTCTTGCTAGGTTCTCCAGCCAGGTTCTATCCAGGTTCTCCTGCCAAGTTCTGTTGCCAGGTTCTGTCCAGGTTCTGTTGCCATGTTCTCTCGCTAGGTTTTCCAGCCAGGTTCTGTCACCAGGTTCTGTCCAGGTTCTCCTACCAGGTTCAGTCACCAGGTTCTAGTCAGGTTCTCTTGCCATGTTCTATCCAGGTTCTGTAGCCAGGTTCTGTCTCTAGGTTCTTCAGCCAGGTTCTCTCGCTAGGTTCTGTCTCTAGGTTCTGTGGCCAGTTTCTGTCCAGGATCTTTTGCCATGTTCTCTCCAGCGAAGTTCTTCTGTCTCTAGGTTCTGTGTAGGTTCTGTGTCTAGGTTCTGTGTCCTGTTGTCTTGTTACATCTGTATTTATACCAGTTGATTCCAATCCTATCAATCTCTATTCCAAAGGTTAGGGCGTTTCTTATCTCCATTCCAGGGAGTAAAGATTATGTAGCTTAATCATGATTGTTCGTAGTTAGAGTGATTAATTACCCGCCTGTCACTTAGTTAAGGGGTTTTATTCCCTCCCTAACTTCAGGGGAAAATCCCTACCTGGGGAAACAACCTTTCTCAGAGAGGTGACCTTGGTTAAAACACCTAGTGCCAAGAAGGTGAGCAAACATATTAAGAACAGTATGCCATATATGTCAGGTCCCTTGAAACAGCAAGGATGGACCGGCTCCCGGCAGATAATGTTGGCTTTGTAAGAAGAGCTTCAGAATCTTTCCTCCTCTTGAATTTTTTAGAATACTTTGATCAAGATAGGTGGTATTTCTTGAATGTTTGCTAAAATCTGCCTGCAAAGCCATAAAGTCCAAGACTTTTGTTGCTGAGAGTTTTTAATTATTGCTTCTATTTCATCATTTGTTATTGGTCTGTTCAGGTATTCCGCTTGTTCCTGATTGTGTTTCTATGAATTTGTCTGTTTCAAATCACTATTTTGTTTCCATATAGTTGTTCATAATATTTTCCTAAAATCCTTTGTATTTCTGTGATGTCAGTTGTTACTTTGCTACTTTCATTTCTGATTCTATTTATTTGGGTCCTCTCTTTGTTTTTTGATGAGTCTGTTTAAAGGTTCACCAATCTTGTTTATCCTTTCAAAGAACCAGCTCTTGGTTTCATTGATCTTTTATATTTTTGTTTGTTCTATGTCATTTATTTCTGCTCTGATTTTTATTACTTCCTTTCTTCTGCTTACTGTGGGCTCTTCCTGCTGTTCTTTCCCAAATTCTTTTAGGTGTAGGGTTAGATTGGTTACTAGAGATTTTATTTGCTTCTTGGGGTAGGCCTATAATGCTATGAACTGGCAGCACTGCTTTTGCTATGTCCCATATGGGGGTTGTTGTATGTTCTTCATTTTCATTAGTTTCCAGGTAATTTATTATTTATTTCTTGATCTCATTGGTAACTCATTCATCCTATATAATAAAGAGCTAATATGCTAATT